TCCCTATAATTTATAGTTCATAGTTCTAAGTATCTCTCTCTCTGCTTTATAATTTTGCATCTTGCTGAGGATAAGGAGATATCATTCCAAATCCCCATAACCCTATCACAGCCAGAGTCCGGGGTCTGCTGTAGAGGAAGGTCTGTTACCCTTGGCTGCACCAGAACAGAACCACCCAGGACACTTGCTCCCAAACACAGTTGGATTATTTAGACTCTTTGGCATCCCCTCCATGAACAGGCAGCAAGATTATTGGTTGCAACCTCAGACTCTCTGTGGGGTGTGTGTGTGTGTGTGTGTGTGTGTGTAAAATACACTCTGAAAAGATTGTGTGAATACTATGACTTCTCCTCATAGGACCCAGAGATTATTTCCATATAAACAGACATAAACTAGGCTACATTGAATGCCTGGTTCAACCAAAGAGCTTTCACACAAGGGCATTTTAGTTTCTTCTTGCAGCTTCTCTTGATGACAGACTTGGCATTTGAAAAATTAGAAGGTAATGAAATTGACGAAGGCATAATATTTACAAGTTGACCAAAAAACATAGGAAAATGTAAATGAAGAGTTAAAAGGGACCTTGCCTCCCCAGCCCCCATGAATTTCTCAGGTAATTGAGATGAGTGGTATTTCCAGGGGACACATCCAGAGGCTAGCTCAGGGCAAGGGAGAAACCTTCCCAAGTGTTTCCTGGGAAAACTGTAGAAAGGTATTTAGGTAAAACTCCTTCATGTTCAGAGACTTCAATGGACTCCAGGTATGCATGTATGATTTCAAATTTTTTAAAAAAAATATGTGCCTTATGAAGCATTTTTTTCTCTGTGGTATGTAATAGCATGTATTTACAGAAAGGCTATATACCTACAAAGAGAATTTAAAACAGTTGTCCTGCCAAGGGAAAATTGATTTAATTAAGTGCCTAAATATTAATCTGAATTTCAGTTTATTTAACAAATGTTTACCCAGGATAAATATTTACCCTGAAATGGACTTGGACACAGAATGTAATCTGAGTTCTCAGCAATATTTGTGGTTATTGCAGAAAATTCTCGGTGGTTGAGGGTGAATGCAGAACACTGTCCCGGGGAGAGGAAAAGGTCAGGAGGGGAGAACATTGTTCTGCTGCTTCCCTGGATTGCTGCAGATGTTTTATTGGCGGGGGGAGGGAATGGAAGGAACGTCAAGGTGAGGGGCTGCCCCCCGAAAGCCTCCTATAAACTTCCAGAGTCCGCAGACTTTCACTTGAGGAGAACAGAAATCATTTCCTTCTTCCAGTTCTTTTGGGAGAGGGACTGCTTGCTTTCAAAACTAGGAAAAGAAAGAAATCGAGGGGGGAGAAGAAAGTCATTGGATTCAATCCCCTGCTCTCACAGATGACAACTCTGAGATCCTGGGCATTTAGTCAAGAGCTGGTATAGTGATCCGAGAAAGGAACAGGGAATAAAGGTTTAGAGGAACAGAGAGATGGACGCTTCTCCACAACCTTCTCACCAGTATTAACCCTCTCTAAGCTGGCTGTTTTTAAACTCTTTCAGGGTTCACGAGCCATTCAAAATTGCTCCCAAGCTTTAAGATGCCTTCAAGGCCTACAGCAACTAATCATAGTTCATATCCGATTTATGGAGAATACCTACCTGGATTCTTCCTACTTGGTAAAGCTAAAGTCTGGTTATTGAACACAATATTCAAGGAAAGAATAAGTCTGTTTTCCACAGAAACTGTGGATCCAGCACTGCAAAATGTCCTCCAGGAACTCTGGCCTGAGTCACAAGGAGACAGAGAGGAGTTGGAATGCAAAGAACAGGGGCCCTTGAAGGGTGGTTCACAGACCCGCAACAGCATCACAAGTTCTCAGGCCCATCCCAGATCTGCTGACCCAATAACTCTCTGCATGAGGCCCCACAGTGTGTGTTTGAATGATCCATTCATAAGATTCTAGGGCACTCTGAAGTTGAGAACCACTTGCTTACCTGCACTATGTTAAGGGCAAACGAGCTGCAGAGGTTGAGTTGGAAAGAGCAGTATGCAGCCAGAGGAACAGAAAGTAAGGACACTGACCTGCAGCATCAGACTCTCAGCTGTGTGTGTGTGGGGGGGGGGAGGTGGTTAAATACACTCTGAAAAAAGTTGTGCATACCTTAACTTCCCTAAGGGGACCCAGAGATTATTTCCATCTAAACCAACATGAACTAGGCTACATTGAGTGCCTGTTTCAACCAAAGATCCTTCACACAGGGACATTTTAAATTTAATCCTWCTCTTGCCCTTTATAAGAGAGTTATTGTTACCCCATTTATCAGATGAGGAAATTGAAATTCACAGAAGCTAAGGAATCTGGCCAAGGCCTTCTGGCAAATAAAGACAAGATGGCATTTAAGCCTAGGTCTAACTCCAGAGTATAGGGATGTCACTGCAGGATGTCACATACCCAAACCTCCCTCGTACACACATTTGGATTATTTAAAGTAATGATCATATATTTTGCCATAAAATATGAAAAATGTTGTTAGATTAAAAAAAAGCTTCGAATTCTTATAAAAATAAAGGAACAAACAGATTATAAAAAGTAGTCCAGAGAAGGAAGATGGCAAGGACACTGAAATAGTCCTAGGAAAGCAACAAATGCTGCAGAGCACTCTCCAAGTGAATAGGGAATGCGCATATGTGCATTTGTGTGTACATGTGTGCATATGGGTGTATGTGTGTATACGTGTGTATGCATGTGTTAAGCATGTATAGGTGTGAGATATGTACGTGTATATGCTTATATGTATACATGTGTATGTACATATGTTTGGGGGAGTGTATTTTGTTGTTGTTTTTTGACTTAGATTGTATGTGTGTGTGTGTGTGTGTGTTGGTAGCAAATGAAAGAGTAGAAATTTAAAAGATCCTCCTTTGGAGAACTAGACACTGGTCTTTTTTAAGAGTCAGTTCTAGTCCCAACCATCATTCACAGCCTAAGAAATGGGAAGGGGCTTGAGTCCCCTCCCACACATGTTTTGGGAAATGGCCCCATCAAGTCACACCAACAGAGCTGCAGAGCTGGGTCTCGAACTTAGGCCTCTTACCACCAGGTCCTCCTGGCACTACGCCACCCTGAGTCTGCAGAAAACAAAACAGTCCAACACCAGCCTGGCACTGCCAAGTACCCAGGAGAATTCCCTTGTTTATTTACTTCTCCAGTTTTTTGTTACAGTTTTTAAAACTCCCATAAGACAAGAATTTCCCTGAGTTCCATAGTTAGCTACTAAATAAATTCCAAGTTCAAGAAAAATACCCAAATGTGAAGTTGAGCCTTTCACTGCGTGTATCTCACAGTCCAGTCCAGGAGGTGGTTCTTTCTGACCATGAGACTAGGGAACAAGTCATGTGAGGTTTCAGTACATCCAGGCCTGAGAGGGGCTGTGTTTGCTTGAGGAAGGATTTAGATAAAATCCAGACATTTGACCCCATGTTTTCTCATGCATGATAAAGGAAGACAATGAAGTAAATAAACTGGAAATAAACTTGCCCACAGACCAGGCAAAGGGGACTGAGGTASAGGTGGGTTCYGCCCCAGGGCACCAGAGGCAAATTCTGCCCATCATACAATTTTCCCAATGGCCACAGATAAGCCTAATTCTGATGACCTGGCACAACCCTGTGCTGTTATTGTAAACAAGACTGGAAAGAGGAGCGTGGATAGCTTAACACGGGCCCTTTTCCTGGGTGAAAAAGAAAGCTGAAGTCCTATCTGATGTGGTTGGGGGTGGGCCAACAGCTATGTATGGTGTTTTAGAGCCTGAACAGTGTGAACTCTGGGGTGAGGGGGTATTGATCTGGAGGGGTATTCACCAGCCCTAGGCTTCTTATTAAAATCAATAAGTAAATAGATTCAAATGGTCACTGTAGGCRATGATCTTCCCTTGCCTCTCAGCACCTCCTTCTCACTCTGGACAACAAGTTTCTTGAACAAGCACCTGGAAGAAGGTGTGCAGCCTCACCCAGAAGGACATGTCCTCAGACAGGGGCTGCTCTGATTGACTCTGGACCATCACCCTCACTCAGTCGGAATAACAACCAGGCACACGGGTATCTATTCAGATGGAGGTCCTGGGACTGGAGAACTTAGGAGCTCTTTGGGAGGCACGTGGTCTCACATAGATACAAAACTGACTTTGCTTCCTGAAAACTATAATAAACCCAACCAAGTTCACAAAGCTTATGGTTCTGAAGAAACTAGGATAATGTAGGAGGGGACCTGTCTTGAAGATCTGCCTCAGAAACAGTGACTAGATGCTCAGGCTAGACATGAAGCAGTAAGAATGTATTCCATCGGCCTTGCCAATGAGGAGGGAACTAAAAGTGTCGTTGCTAGATGTACACCTGTAATGCACACCTGTAACCCCATCTCTGCAGGAAGCTGAGGCAGGAGTTCAAAGCCAGCCTCAGCAACTTAGCAAGTCCCTAAGCAACTTAGTGAAACCCTGTTTCTAAATAAAATATAAAAAAAGTAGGGGAACAGGGATGTTGCTCAGTGGTTAGGCACCCCTAGGTTCAATTACCAGTACCAAAAAAAAAAAAATCTATTCACCATATTCACCATACTAATAAACCCAGTTAGGCTACTAAGTGCTCATTAACATATTTCTTATTCCCTTTCAGGGCCACTGACTATCCACAAAAGCTGAGTTAAACAAAATCCCTAGATACTAACAAAAATTGATGGTTTTCAAACTTTAGAGATCATCAGAACCATCTGCAGGAGTTGTTAAAACAGGTCACTAGGCCCAAGAGGTTTTGATTTGCTAGTTTGGGGGAAAAACCTGAAAATTGTTTGCATTTCTAACAAATGGGACCAGGCAATGCTGCTGTTACCAGTCTTAGGACCATGCTTTGGAGATCTTTGAGTAGAACACAAACAACCCACCATTGGATGTTGCTCCTTGTCTTTCTGAGGTCTCAGCTCTTCTCACGCCCCTCYCCCACATCCCTCTTTTCTACCCCAGGGAGAGATGTTGGTGCCAGCTCACTTCTTGCTTCTCCTGCTGCTGCTCCTGGGAGACCCGAGGGCCGGCCTCTCCTATAAGTTCTACAGAGCCCRGCCGGTCTTCAACTGCCTCAGTACAGCGCGAGCTGAGGTCAAGCAGAGTCCATGGGAGGACATGGCCCCGCTGAGCAAGAGGAGCTTCCACTCCCTGCCCAGTCAAGACCCGTCTTCAGGAGAAGAGAAGGAGGAGGAGGAGGAAAAGCAGAACAAGGACAAAAGGACTTTCCCAGGCTCTGGGGGTGGGGGTGGAGCTGGAAACACCCGGTACAAATACCTGTCCCAAACCCAGCACAAGGGGAAGCTGTACCAGGACAAGACCAAGAGCGACCGGCGCACCAAGTTCACCCTGTCCCTGGATGTCCCCACCAACATCATGAACATCCTCTTCGACATCGCCAAGGCCAAAAACTTGCGGGCCAAGGCAGCTGCCAATGCCCACCTGATGGCGCAGATTGGGCGGAAGAAGTAGCAGCAGAGGCTGGACAGGAGGGCAGCACGCCAGGCACAGAGGTGGGGGACAGGGACACTGGGGGCTTGTATTTCACAGGCTGCTTCATGGCTGAGCCCCTCTGATCCTTCCTTGCTGCCAACCCAGTCTCCCTTCTCCTCTGTACAGAAGTGCAGTATTGTCCAACCTTCTCAGAGGTCAAAGGTTAAAGTCTCCCCTGTACTTTGTCTCCTTTCTCCTTCCCCATGGCAAGAGGCACAGCTCTCCCACTCCTCTCCAAGCTCCTCCCTGTTGACCCCAGGCCTGAGGAGAGCATCCTGGGCTCCTCTCCAGCCCCCACATCAACCCTGCCACAACAGAGACCAAGAGATGCACTGTCCACCCTCCCTACCTTCTCACCCCATTAAAACCAGTGGCTTCTTGAACTCCTGGCTTGTTTTCAGTTCCTCTTTCTCCCAAGTCTGAGCTTGGAACAAAAAAAGGCTAGTGAGGGAGGGTTCTGCTGAGTCAATTCATCTCTCCAAGACGGGTGGACRTGGTTCTGGGAGGTCATAAAAGGAGTAAAGGAAAGTTTGAGAGTCAGTCAGCTTTTGTCATTTTATCCAGAGCCATCTCCTTGGCCAGATCCCATTCAAGGGACACAGCCTGGGATCCATTTTCCATTACACCCCCAGGCTGAAAGAGGGAGGGAGTTTGTAACAACCGGAACTCCTCCACAGCTTGCTAGGGTGCAGGCCACTGCTTCTTTACTGAATTCTCATTGAACCCACAGTACCCACCTGATGCTGTGCTGGGTACTAGGGCCAATACTGATTCGAGCCACAGCTTTGCTATCCACAAATCAACCAAATACCACAAAGATCACCAGGAAGTATGCAAACAATGAATCGCAAACTGGTAATAATTAATGTGAACAGACATATATATATATGGAATTCAGAAGAGAATAGTTAATAGGAGCAAAACTCCACTAAAAATGGTTATCAGCAAGTGTGCTAACCCACCCCCCACGCCCCCACCCCCGCCCGGCAGCAAAGCCTAGGGGCCAGATTCCCAGAGGAGAGACTATGGTCCCTCTCACTTCTGCACAGTGACAAATCATTAAGAAATAAAATGATTAACAAGCAGCACACACCAGCAACTAATTTCACCACCACCACCAGAGGCAAAGTCAAAAGAGAAATAAACAATAAACTTGGAAAAATGTTTGCCACTCATGTAAAAGAAAAATGGGTTTTTGAACAAATATATAATTACTAAAAAAAAAAACAGAACAAACCCAAAAGAAAAATAAACAAAGACATGAATAGATCACACAAACACACATACATACACACAAATAATAATGACTTTTAAGTATATGAAAAGATGCTCAATTTCATTCTTAATAACTACACTGATAAACAATTTCCTGGGCTGAGGGTGTAGCTCTGTGGTAGAGTGCTTGCCCAGCATGCACAAGGTCCTAGGTTTGATCCCCAGTACCACAAAAAAATAGCAAGACAATTTCTCACCTGCCATATTAGCAAAAGTCCCTAAGTTTGACAATATTCCCCATTGGTGAAATTAATGGCCACCCCCTCCCCTGCTGGCTGGTGGGGGTAAAACCATAGAGACACAATTTGGCAGCACTTACCAAAACCACAAATTTGTCTTTCCTATAACCCAATAATCATGTTTCTGTCAGGCATTGCTAAAATCTTTAAATTTAGGTTTTTTTTAAAAAAAAAGATAAAATTGAAATTTAAAATACCCCATCTCTTAACAGGACCAACATAACTATTGTGCCCAACCATGGAAAAAACACACAGTAGAGCAGAAAGAATCATGTTCTGAGACTCAGAACACCTATTCTTTGAATCTCTGTTCATCTACACATTAAGTATCTATGAACAAGTCCTATAACTTCTGTGAATATCTGTGTGCCAAGAACACTGAAAGGTATTTTATGAGCATCATCTCACTTAATTCTCTCAAGTTTATTTCAAGGTAGCCATAATATTTTTCCATTTTAAAGGTAGAGATTGAAGCCCAGAGAACTTAGGAAATGTATCCAAAGTAACCCAGCTATTAAATGGCAGTCAGATCTGCCCAGCCACAAACCCTTTCTCATTCCTCCATGAAAAACTGACCCTTAATTTGTACAAAGAGCATTGAGAATATCAATCACCCCACCTCCCAGTGCTATCAGCAGACCCAAGTGAACTAGATCGTGGAACCAGTTGGAAGAGCACCACATAGACACTGGGATTCAAGACTATGAACCCAGCAGGTGAGACTGGTATTTGATTGGCTTTCAGCATCTTGCAGATGACTTAGTGTGCAGATGGTTGATGAACAAGAAAAGTGGGCCAAAACCAAAACCTACCAAGTAGTCAGGAAAGCTCAAGATTTCCTGTTGGACAGCACCCATTCCACAGTTCTGCCCACCACACTGGGGTCTAATTGAGAGCAAGTGGCACCTCTCAGCATGGGTTCATAAAAATATCATATATACCTAATTAAAATAAATAAATAATTTTTTTAAATGTCAGCAATGCTGGAAGGTGGGATGGCCACATCCAAAGACCACCGCTACTTTTATCTGCTACTCCTGACTTCACTGTGTAACACTTTGGGGAGGGGCAGGGAGATAGAGCAATCTTCATTGTTCTAAAAGGATTTAAAAAAAAAAAAAACCCTCTGGTCATCCCCTCCCTTCTCCTCAGTCAGGGAAGGGCAGATACACCAGCAGGAATAGCCTCTCCAGTTGCAAGAACTTAACCCTTCAGTGTAATGGCAAGTTACTGGGACCAGGGAGCATTTTACTATAGCAAGTCCTAGATCCCAGCAAGTGATAGAGTAAGCTCTTGGTACACAGAATTTAACATTGTGATTGGGACTTTCACAATAATAACCTGCCATTTTTCTAAGTCACAATTTTGAATTACTCCTCAAGGCAGATGTGCATGAACAATTTAATTATCTACTTACTGATCAAGCCTAGGCAATTGCTCGGTGTCTGTGTCCTCAAGTCAATGGCATTGCTTTCTACTAATGAACACATACACCCTGTGTCAGTAAAGGTTTGAAGGGGGTTACTTAGGGTCTTTTTGAGTTAAACATGACTAAATTCTGCAGAAGAAATTATTGACCAATGTGGCAATGCACAAAGACCTCAGATTTTCTGTGTGTGGGATTTATTCTGTTTAAGGAATAGAGAACCACAACTTCTCCTACGCCCYGCAACTGTAACACATAACATGTTGGAAACTGTGTAAGAGAGGACACCCACTGAGGACAGCCAATGGAACTGGGTGTATTCATACACTTCATGTTTATATCTTCCATTCTCACCTCCACTAGCTTCAATTCCACAAGGTAGGGATGGGTTTTGCTTTGTTCAGTGTTGTATCTGGAGTGTCTAGAATAGCAATGAGCATGTGGCAGGTGCTCAGTGAATAGTTGGTAAATTAGATAAGGATGTATTGATGTTCTTGTGATAAGAAAGCTCTACATATTTGGCATTTAAAGTGCAGTAATTTTAATATTTAAGAGGTTTTGACAAAAGAATCATATTCAGTCTTGTGATTTCAATTTTAAAATAAATAAATTTCATAAATACATTTACACTTTGATCTTAAAAATATCTGGTTAGTTTATAGACAGTTTTGGAATACTTAAATGTACTCATTCACCATATTTATAGTTTAAACTATTTGATTTAGAAAGAATTACTTAGGGTATTTGGGAAAGTTTGTCAAACTCCTTAAAAGAGAATATATTAAATTCATATTCAACCTTAAATAGTTAAGAGCACTTTCCTAAGATTGTAAATGGTCCAAACATTTGTGAATATTCCCTTTGAAAGTCATTATACAAGTTTACTAGACATAAATAATAAGACTCACGAGCAGACCTTAAAAGCTTAAGGAGTAATTAAGTTTTTCATCTTAAGCTAAGTTAGTAATTTTGAGAAACAAAAGTTGTCAGTCTCTTTCTGGATGAATATGAATGCACGTGTACACACGCATACACAGAACACACACACCCAAGGGCCCACCGCTGTGCTGGCTGAGCAGGGTTACTTAAGTGTCTCACTAGTGCCCTCCAGTGGCTAAAGTCAGAAACAACAACATGTAAGTTAAAGAAAATTTTTGAAGTAAAATTTCATGTTTTAAAAAACCTAATGAAATTTGTTGTCAACATACCTTATATATAATCAGAGATGTGATAAATTATTTTATAATGGTRTATTAAGAATTGTAATGCAAAATAAATAAATAGGACAGAAAAACAATGAAACTGTGAATCACTGGATAGGGTATACAAGTGGAAAAAAAACATCAACGAGTACTTACTACAATATTTTCAATATACTGAGAGAGTCCAGAGTGCATCTCAACCGTCCAGAAATTCTGGATGCTCTAAACAGCTCTGGTAGTTAAGAGGACACAGGAAGAAGAGTCCCAAGAGGCTTCATGGAGCAGGTAACACTTGAACCACATCTTGAAGTAGAAAATACATCACATGTCATAGCGGGGAAAGGAGCGAGAGAAGAGGYGAGAGAGAATAATGTGTGCTGGAAGATGGGCTTCAGCAACTCRGAATCATTAAAGCTTTGGGTATGGGAGCAAAATGATCCAAGTTGTGCTTTGGAATTTTCAGCCATGGAATRGTGTGCAGGATGAGTTAGGAAGACAAACGGAAAGGCAGAAAAGCATTTAGATATTAGTGCTAGTTGTGGCGAGAGGATTTGATGACCTGTATAAAAAGGCAAGTGAATGGATCCTGAAAACATTACAGAAGCCAAATCCATGGGACTTCATTATATGTAGAAATGAGGGGGTCAGTCAAAAAATGACATTGTTGTTTAGAACCTGCTTTGGGGAAAAGATATTGGCATAAACAAATGAGATTGAGGACAGGAATATGGATCTCTTTTGATGAAAATAATGCTTTTGTTTTTGTTTTGTTTTTTTGGTGTTTCCTTGATTTCTTTTTTTTTATTGGTTGTTCAAAATATTACAAAGCTCATGACA